ACAACTTACTGTCAGCACCCCATTGACTAACTCAATATTCCTAACCCCTGCTACCCCCAAAGTAAAGATTTTCCAAAGGTGCTATAGTAGAGTTTCAACAGCCATTAAAGCACATGTACAGAGAGTTATTTTAAAAACTGTCTTCCAAACAGTAACATGATCCTACAGCTTAGTGCCATGTATCAATGATGCTCCCATGAGACAGGAAATATTTTAGGAATGACTCTTACACTATTCAAATTTTACAGGTCCCAAAATAAGAGCCTTCAAGCAAAGGACCATAAAAGAGAGCCTGTACCCTGTGAATGTGCCCCACTGGTGCACACTGTTGTTTTAAGTATGCACCAGTCCTTGCCATTCTCTGGATCCTCCATTCTTTGGCATATCTCTATAGACTGTGGGCAAGAACCATTTCTCATTTACTGTGGGTACCTGCACACAAGGCACAATACTGGCCTTCTTTGGCTGATAAAGTATATGACTACCTTGAAATATTTGCCTGAATCATTGGTAGAGTTATTAAGGCACAGGCACACTACATAGTTACGGTTAGTTTAGTGCATCAAACTCCCACACTGTACAAACCAAAGACAGACACAATTCATATGGACAGCTCCCCCACTGTTTCACCGTACTAATCACAAAGTATATCTGCCTTTTTGAAGAATATTACCCAGGGCTATTTTTGGGCAGGAACGGAGTTCCAGCTGGCTCCTGAGTTGGCCACGCCCAGCAGGAACTCATTAGCATAATAGGGCACACCCAACAGCAGAAACTCATTAGGATTGGCTACATTAGGGGTGTGTGGCCTAACATGCAAAGGAGTTCCTGCTCCAAAAAAAGCCCTGGGTTTTGACAACAAACAAGGTAAACAGAATAAGAAGTAAAAGATCGGTGTGGCTGGATGACAACACTTCTGGTGGCATGGGGGTGTGGCCTAATATGCTAATGTGCTGTGCTGTCAGGGTGTGGCCTACTATGCTAATGAGCTTCTGCTGTTGGGTGTGGCCTGTTATGCTAATGAGTTCCTGCTGGGCTTTTTCTACAAAAAAAGCCCTGATATTACCCATGTTTATGCACTATAGTTCCTAGTGAAGCAGAAAGCTGTACATGACAATGCACATTTGCACGTTGTGTTCACTTTCTCTGTGCAAGGATAAACAGCGCTGAGCATTGCCAGCATCAAAACAGTATTTATACACGGCTCAAGTCGACATGCTGTAAAATCAAGCTACATTTTAAGTAGTGTTTTATTTATTTAAATATTTTGAACCGAAATTATTTATTTGCTTCAAGAGACTTATAAAAGCTACCTACTGCTAAGAAAACCCCATACAAGAACTCTATTGTATCTAAAATCATAATTATAATGCTTACTGGAGGGGTGGAGTTCACCCTTTTACTGAACATATCCCAAGTTACAGCTCATTGAACCTGCTAATGAAGACCTTCCCAAGAATAGGAGCTGAAACTGAAAAGGGCACACAATGTTGCCACAGGGTTTGAATCCGCTAGAAAGACAAACAGAGAAGATCAGCTATTAAGAGAGGCCTAAACTGATAAGTAAGTCTATACTGGGAGCGGCATTCATTCAAGTATGAGGGTCCAACACCGTAAACAGTAAGAACCAGCACTTTGAATTGCAACCAGGAAAAGGAAGCCAACACAGCCATTTGAAAACCAGTGTTTACATATTATCTAGCACACCACACTCATTAAAAGATAAACCACTGTTGGTTTCTGGGTTGCCTTCAAGGGCAATATGTACTAGTATGTCATTAAAGGTTTCTCTCTCTGGGTTCAATATGTACTCCAACCTAGAAGTTACAAAAACATAAATCAGCATCTTGAAACTGGCCAAATCTAGAAGGGATAAAGTTTTTGAATGAGACAGAAAGTGACAGAAAGTCCACATAGAAAGAATGCCGAACTGCTCCATTATCTCAGAATCTAATCTCAAAGAGATTATTGTACCCTGATATGGGCATATCAATACCCATTCATTTAGAACATCTCATTTCTCACCCAGCATTACTTTTGTCTCAAATGGATTTCATTTCAGATCATGCTTCCTTATTCACTGACCATGACGTTTAAGGGCAGTAGCATCTTGTGTGTGTGTGTGTGTGTGTGTGTATCTATATTTCTATAATTTACTTGAAAGAAAGATTGACATAACTGTATGCAAATACAAGGTCTCCCCCCAGCAATTGTTACACATACAACAGATGTATTTACTGGACATAAGTGTAACCTGTATGGAGATGCCAGACAACTTTTTTTAATGACATACCCAGGGGGAAAAAATGAGTATGTATTTGAGTAAGTACCTACTAAGGATCATTGGTGTACTGAATGCTGGATGGCACCACATGTTTGCTTCAACACTGCCAGTTACCCTCTCCAATGGAAATGCTCTGTCATCTTTCAGATGGAAAAGGTGAAACCAATGGAATGATTCCTGACTCTCCAAACCCCTAACTCTAAATGGTTAGACAGATTGGCATGATCAACTGTATCAAAAACCATCTAATTTAAAGCCATAAATCATCCAGCAGTGCTACTAAAACAGTGCCTGTCCCATAACCAGGATGAAACC